CCGAGCCAGGAGCGGGATGGTGGCGGCCCCGTGCCCCCCCCAGCGCCCTCCCGCCCCCCCGGCGCAGCCCACGCTCCCCTCCGGGCTCTTGAGCTCATCAAAGCGCTGAACAAACCAGCGGCGCTTCACGGCTGCCCCGGGCTCAAGGGCTCGCTGAGTGCATTAAGTGGTTTAATACCGTGGCTGGAGGAGCGGGGGGAGGCAATGCCACATGTCACACATCTCACAGCTCCTGCGGGGACGGTGCTGGGGCAGGATACGGCCCGGGTGGAGAAGAACGTCCGGAGGATCCACGGAACATCACTGCAGGCCTCGGTGCTCTTGGGGGGGCGACAGGAGGGGGGCAGGAGACTGTAAAACCAGGGTGATCGGCCCCAGCCCAGGTACCGCATGGATTTATAGCCTCAGGGACAGGGAAGCACCAAGCAGGACAGTGGCACAGACCGGTTCCTCCCTGGTTGCTGCCCCGTGGATGTCTCCGGGCTTCAGAGAAGGCACCGTCATCCCACAGTGCAGGGCTGGGAACAACCCCCGGGAAGGAGAGCCCGGCGTGGAGGCTCCATCGCAGGGGCTGCTGCGGCTGAGCAGAGGGTGCGAGATGGGGGAGGTCTCAGCTCCCTCTGCATCCTGGCCCTGAGCTGGTAAAAAGAGCTGGCCGTGTGGAGCCAGAGGGAGAGCCAGCAGCTCTGCCAGCACCTGGGAAAGGTGGCAGGGAACAAGGTCCCCAGGGCCTGGGAAACAACCTTCCTCCCTCCCTGGAGGTGGGTCGCCCTCCCCTCTTCCTGCACCCCCCGGTTTCACTGTGTGCCCTCTGCCCGCCGTGCCCAGGCCTCTCCCGGCAGCGAGCGGGCGCTCCCTGGCAACGCAAGCGCTCTGATTTATGGAGTTTCTTGGCACATTGAGCTGCCCGGTGGGGAGCAGTGGCTCAGGCCAACTGCAGACCTTCACCGGGAGCGGGCCCTTCGGCACGGCTGCCCCTCGCTGGCACCTGGGAAAAGCTGCTGGAAACATCTGAATAGGTTGATTTGGGAGCAGGAACCAGGCAGGACCTGGGAGGGTCTGGGCAGGGATGTCTTGGGGGCAGTGGTGGGGAAGGGGACGGCAGTGTCCTGGCTGGACCCTGGGATCTTCCTTACAGATCTCTGAGTCCTGGGTCCTGTCGGGGGAGAAGAGGGCAGATGGAGCCCGGGAGAGGATGAGGTTTACGGGAAGGGGAGGCCAGTGAACAAAAGGCTTGTGTTTGCCTTTCCTCCACCCTGCACAACGGTGGGTAAACAAGGCACAGAAGTGGTTGAGTTCCCTTGAGATAACAAAGAGCGCTGGAGCGGGGCCAGCCCTGCCCACACGGCTCGGGGCCAGCGGTCACGGGGGGACAGAGGGGAGCAGGGTGCTCAGAGCTGCCTGCTGCCTGCACTGAGCTTGCCTGGGCTCAGCTCGGAGCAGAGCTTCCAGGTATGAGGCAGAAGAGGAGCTGAGGTCCTCAGCGCCCCGGTTCCCAGCAAAGGGGTGGCAGGAGAGACCCTGCACTCGTGGCGGGAGCTGGCAGAGGGACACGTGTCTCTGGCACCGTGGGCACAGGGGCTGTGTCAGGAGCATCCCCTCCCGGCAGCACAGGAGGGCCAGCAGCCAGCCCCACTGTCACCACGGGGCTGCCAGAGACCAGCACTCACCCTGTGTGTGGCCACGGTGTGCAGCAGGAGAGGCTGGACCCGAACCAGGAACAGGCAGAGAACAAACACTTGCAGGGGCAGCAGAAAACAAGGTTTTGGGGCCTCCAAAACGGGCTGCAGACCCTCACTCAGCACCGAGCTGTGTGGAGCCAGGGGGGGTGCCTTTCCTCACCTGCCTCCCCCTCATCCAGGGCTCTCCATGGATCCGGACAGCACAGGACACCAGGGGGGGACAGCTCTGGGGGCTCCAGAGCCACCTCCCCAGGCAGCGTGACGGGGAGCTGGGCTGGGTGAGATGGGTGAGGGTCCGTCGGGCCGGGCTGGAGGCTGCTGGCAGCGTGCAAGGGATGCCCGGCGGGAACACTGTCAGGGCTGGGGACACTGGCGGGGCTGGGGACACTGGCAGGGCTGGGGACACTGGCAGGGCTGGGATGTGGCTGGCAGCATGCTACCACCTGCTGGAAGCTGGGAAGGAGAGAGCCCCGAGGGGAAGGGGCTGGTGCCAGGCCCCCGGGGATCCCACCGCAGCCCCCCCGGGGCAGGAGCACAGCAGAGATCTCCTCTCCTCCAGCTGGTGAGGGATTTCCACCGAACTTGCCAAGCGCCAATGTCAGAGACTCTTATCCCTCTGTCCAGGAAAACTGGACCAGAGCGTTTGTTGTCAGCATGTTTGGAGACAGACAGAGGGATGGTTGGTCATGAGACCCCCAGTTGCAGTCGCTCCTCTGTGGCTTCCAAACCCTCCCCAAACCCTTTGGCCTCACCATCACACGGGCTGAGGGAGCAGCTCTGAGAGGCAAGTCACTGTCCCCTTCAGCCCGGTGTTAACTCTGGAGCCTAAAATCAATCCTCCACCAGCCCTCCATGGTATTAAACCACTGCCGGCAGCCCCCCGGGGCCAAGGGGCCAGGGCAGAGCCTGCAGCCACCAGGGGAAGGCGTGGGCTCGTTCTCCGGTGGTGAAAGAAGAAAAGTCTGAGCCTTTGCTGCCTTTTCCTGCCTTTGCCATTGAGGGAACGGCGCAATTTTCTTTGCAGACGCATTACTACATGACAAAAAATAGCAGCTGAGATGGAAGCGCTGCGTCCCTGTAGGTATTCAGCTATCAATGGAAAATTACACATTCATTACTGGCCTTTATTTAGGGCCTTATTTTATTCATTGACTCAGCCCGCACCCAGCCCGTCCGGCAGCCCCGTCCCAGGGGGCAGAGGGTGCCAGGGTGACTCCGCTCCCCGTGCGGGGGCTGGTGGCACGTGGGGCAGAGCCGAGATGGGCCGGTGACACCCACCTGGGGCAGGCGAGCGGAGGGGACCCAGCGGAGCCCTGGACCCGGCCAGTGCCAGGGCTGGTGCCAGACTCACCAGGAGGCTGCTTCCCACCCCGTGCCCGTGCCCAACGGCTCGCAGCCCAGCCACGCGGCCGGCTTGGAAAGCCTGGGGCAACCTTCTCCCACCTCCGCCAACCCCAGCCAAGTACCTTCCCTATCTGCTGGCAGCATCGCGGCACCGGGAGAGCGGCCAGGCCCACCCTGGGGCTCTCACTCCACCAGCCGCCATGTTCATTAGCGGGTGACGAAGGGCAGCTCAGCCCTGGGCTGCTGGGAGCCAGCCCGGCTGCAGCAGGAGCCAGAGGAGGCCTGGCCAGGAGGCTCCGAGGCGAATGGCCACATCTTGCCCTGGGCAGGGGTGGGCAATGGGTCCGCAGGCAGCAGGAGCTGAGAGATGCCAGGTGCAGGGAGGAGACGCCATGCAGGACCAGCGCCCCAGGGACCAAGCCCTGGGGGCTGCAGCCCCCTCTGGAGCTGGGGGGTGGGGGTGACCCATGTGCAGAAGGGGGACAAGTTGGCCCCGGGTGGCAGAGACAAGTGTGACTGGCCGGGATGGAGCTGGCTGCCACCGCCAATGTGGGACCATCCAGGAGCTGGTGGTGATGGAGACACTGTCTTGGCACCCTCTGCATCCCCGGCCCCATCGAGCCCCCAGGCGCAGGAGGCGGCAGCAGGAGCCCCGTCCCAGCACCGTGCCCAGGGGTGGCACGAACAACCCGAGCACCTTGCTCATTTCCAGGTTTAATTAGAAACTTATTCCAAACCACGAACCCGCACCCAGAGCCAGACACGCTGGAGAAGGGGACGTGTACGCCGTAAAAACCTGCCAAAGCCCCGAGCCGGCCGGGGGGGTCCCTGGGGGCCGTGGGACTCCTCTCCTCCCGGCAGCCCTGGCCGCTCGGTGCCAGCAGCTCACCCTGCCCTGCGCCTCCCGCAGCAGCTTCGTCCTGGCCCCAGCCCGGGGGGGGCTGTGGGGGCTCAGCGCCACCGGGAGCCTCACACGGCAGCAGCTCCTGGGGAGAATCCAGCTGGAAATGTGGGAGCGACAGGGACATCCAGCAGCACCGGCCTCCAAGAGATGTTTATGCCCAGTCCCACGGCCAGAGCCAAGCCGGGGGGCACAGCCCCCACGGACGGGGGACCCCACGGACGGGGGGTACTCCCAGATGTTGGGAGGAATGATGCAGGGAGTCGGGTCCTGAGCAGCAGTGTTGGGTGAGAGGCACGGCTCTGTGGGCAGGGGGCTGGTCCCCCGGCTGCCCCTCACACACCTGTGCACAGGCACACACACAGATACACATGCACACTCACACACCAATGCACACACGCACGCACACACTGAGCCCCCTCGGCCCATCCCACCCTGGGAGCCCTGGGATGAGGCTCCTGGCACCAGTCCCAACCCCGTTTGCTCCATCATCGTCCAGAGACCAGTTCCATGTGCCGGGATGGAGCCGGCACCGGGGGCCGCAACGTGGGGCAAGTGGGAGCTGGTGGTACCACGGGCTGGGGGCACACAGCCCCACACAGGGAGGACCCCAGGCCAGAGGGGACAGGGCAGCCCCAGGCAGGTCGGTCCCCCTCAATGGGGCCACCCAGTCACTCACACCCCGTTTTGCCTCCACACATGGAATAAACATCTTCGTGTCCAGCTGGGCAAGGGGACGCACGGGGACGATGGATGGGACACAGCGATGGGGGGTGCCCTTCAGGACCAGGGACCACGAGGCCCCACTGGGGAGGGGGATGGGGAGCCCAACCCTGGGGGTTTGGGGGCTTTGCTCCCCCGAGGGCAGGCACAACCAGAAGAGGGGAGAGTGGAGGAGCCCCAGGTTTGCCCTGGGTCTGGGGCAAGTCTGGAACCAGGGGAGCAGATCGGGGGCTCACGTACCGCCCGGCATCACTGCTTCCTGCGGACGACCTGGCGGAGGTGCAGCTCACTCTCCGCGGCCACGATGGGCTGCTCGTTCTGCCGGTGGTGGTTGATGAGGTGGCTGATGCTCTCAAACAGCACGTCCTTGGTCCTTACCTGAGGGCCGGGGGGCACAGCGGTTCTGAACCTGGGAGAGCTGCCTCCTGCATGGGGTCCCCACGCAGCCTCCAGCGCCTCCCGGACCCCATCCCCATCGCCCCCTCTGCCCCCCCTTACCACGCCCTCGGGATCCACCAGCAGCAGATGCTTGGGCTGCCCGCTGTGCATCCCCGTCAGCACGTACTGCCCCGGGTTGGTGAGACTGTCCCGCACCAGGAAGTCCCCGTCCGCCTGCAACAGCCTCTCAGCGTCCCGACGGCTCATCTTCCCGTGGTACCACGGCTCCCGCCTCAGCTGCTCCTCCGTGGGGGCGATGGGGGCCTTCCGCGTGGGGGGGCTCGGCCACTGGTCCTCGATGGGGGGGCTGGTGCTGCCCCCCGCGATGCACTCATGGAGTTTCAGGGCATCCTCAAATGGCCCTGCGGGAGCCAGGGGTGTGGGGGTGTCATGAAGCAGGGCTGGGGGGATGGCAGGGACATGGCCGGGCCAAGCAGTGGTGACGGGACCCACAGTTATGGCCAGACCCATCTCTGGGACAGACCCCGCTGTGCCACGGCCATCCCGGGCATGATGCTGCACCTGCATCCAGGCACAGAGGGGATGGTGCCCCCCTGCACCGCCACAGCCACCCCCTCCACAGGACCCTGCCCTGAGCCACCCCCAGCAAGGGTGGGTGAGCATGGGCCCCAGCTTGTGGTCCCCAGGGCTCAGCACGGCACCGCTTGGGGCTCAGGCACCACCGGGGCTGCGGCACGAGTCTGGGCAGCCCCACGGCACGGGTCGGCCCCTCGGCAGCAGTTCTTGTCCCAGAACGCCCCAGCCCACTGGCTTACTCATGTCAAAGAGGTCCTTTTTGGGGCTCTCCTCTGGCACCCCACGAGCCGCCGCCTCTGGCTCCCAGGCGTCCAGGCTCTGCGTGTTCACGTACATGTGCTCCTCGTAGTCCCGGGGGCCCAGGGGGTGGCCGTCCGCCTGCAGGTACCCGTCGCAGGGCTGGCCTGTGAGGACCCGGCATCACCGCTGGCCCAGGCAGGGCAGAGCCGCAGGGAGCCGCGCTCACCGTCCCCGGGGTCCCCCCGCAGCGGTACCCACCCTGGCTCTCCAGGTCCCAGGGTGGCCCCGGCTGGCTGCTCTGGTCTCGCCTGGCTGCGAACCCACCCTGGGGAGAGGAAACAGGGATGGTGTCGGGGGCACCTGCCCAGGACCCCTACGGCAGGGCCGGCAGCAGCCCTGGGGGCTCACCTGGCTGGGGGCGCTGGAGCCGGAGGGCTGGTTGTGGACGTGGCCCAGGATGGTGCCGTGCCGGAGCCGGGAGTCGATCAGCCCCCCCGGGGGCGGCTCCTTCCCCGGGATGCTGTTGTAGTAATCGTGCTCGGCCGCCTCCTCGTCCTCCCCCCAGGCTGATTCCTCTGCACCCAGAGCCCTGCAGTGGGGACGGGCAAGCTGGGGACACCCTGCGCGGCTCAGACTCCCACCATGCCCAGCATAGGGGGTACGGGGCCACGGCGGGGTCCCTTGCCTGCCTACCTGTCCGGGGGTGCCACCACCTTGGGGGGGCTGTGCAGGTACTGCTTGAAGCGCAGCTCGAAGGCCTGTCCCACCGTGCTGATGACGCTCTGTGCCAGCCCCTCGCAGCACTCCAGGATGTGGCAGGCTGTGGACAGACAGATGGACGGCTTCAGTGTTTCCCTCACGCTCCCATCCACCCCTCTGGGACCACCCTGAGCTGCCCCCCACAAGAGATCCCCTCCTCCAGCCTTCATCCCCCAGCGCATCCCCCCTCCTCCTCTGCAGAGCTCCCGAGCGCGGGGGCCAGTGTCACCTCTCTGGTTGATGGGGTCCTTGGCGACGTAGGCGACATAGTCCGTGGTGTCCTGGGGGCACAGAGGGGAACTCAGAGCCCGTGTCCCACTGCCACAGAGGGAGCAGGACATAGGACGGGCCGCCCCTGTCCCCGCTGCCCCCAAGGGCTGGGGCAAGTGTGCCTCACCGTGTCCCCGCCAGAAGCGAAGGAGATGGATTGCATGTGGTGGTTGGCGATGATCTGGGGAGAGGACATGCCCCAGGGGGTGTTAGCGCAGGGGCAGAGGCTGGGAGGTGGTGGGGTCACATCCCCGGGGAGGGCTCTCACCTGGCGCGTGGTGGGGATCATGAGGTTCAGCCCGTCGACGGAGATGTTGACAGCGATGCTCATGCCAGCGAAGCGGAGGTTGCTCTTGCCCAGGATGGAGAAAAGGGCTTTGTTGGGAGCCTGATGAGGGGAGAGGAGAATGAGGGCGATGCAGCGCCTCACAACCATGTTCCTGGGGGGGGTAGGAGGCAAAGAGGGGTGCCCCGAAAGACCCCAGGCTCTGTCCTGCAAACGGGGCAGGCACCCCCAGCACCTTGCCCCACAGTCCCAGCTCACCCCAGGAAGGAGCCCAGGAAGGGATGGGCTGGGTGGAAACTCACCTTCTTCTTCCAGATGCCCTTCACGCCCGGCACGGCCTCGTAGAGTCTGTTGATGGCTTCCCTGCAAGCCGTGGCCCCTGGTCAGTTACTGCCACCGACCCCGGCCCCTTCCCAGCTCCCTCCCCTGCCTGTGGCTCCGTGGGGCCTGGGGACATCAGTCCCCGCAGCCCCAGGTGCCGCAGCCTCCCCGCAGCGCTGCCCCACGTCACCGGCCTGCGGTACGTAATCCCGGCCACCTCCCTTCTCCTCTTTCCACCCATTGATCCGCAGCAATGCCCTTCGCCTGTGTCCCCGCGGGGGGGGTGGATCCTGTGGGGCAGGGGTCCCCCAGACCCTGGCCCCACGTCCCACCCTCTCCACAGGGCCCCGGGGAGGGGGAGCACCCAGGGCTGCCGGGGGCTCCGGGTGGCGGTGGGGTGTGGGACAGTGGGGCTGTGGGGCTGTACCTGGTGACCTGTGTCCGGGTGTTGAAGTCAAGAGACCTCATGGAGCGCAGCACCTCGATGCACCCCATGTACTGTGGGGGGACACGGTCAGAGCAGCCTCCTCCGGTGACCGCCGCCAGCCAGGGCAAGGGATGGAGAGGAGGGAGGAGCCGGGTGTCAGTGAGAAGGGTCCCTCTGATGCCAGCTCCAGGGCTCTCACCCCAATACATGGCACCCTTTCACCCTCCACCTCATTGCATGCCCCATTGCATGCCCAGACCCTGTGCTGAGACCCGACAAACTCATCCGTGTGCTACGGCTTGTCCCACCCTCCTGCGGGTGGGCTGCCGCTGGCTCCCGGGGCTGGTTCGGCCCGGCCCGGTTTGGGAGGCCGTGCCAGGCGACGTGGGCAGCGTAACGGGGCCGGGCTGCCCGTGATGGGGCGAAGGGGACACAAGCTGCGCGTGCCGGGGATGGCGGCCCAGAGCACCCCGGGGACCGGACACCACCACGTCCCCTTGTCACGGCACCGCGGGCTCCCGCGATCCCCGTCCCAGGGCCGGTCCGGCGGGAGCCTGGGGACGCGGCCGCAGAGCTCGGCGGCAGAGCCAGCCCCGGGGCAGCCGGGGGTGGGGGTCGGAGCCGGGGGGTGCTGCCCAGCCGTCGGAAGGAGCGGGCAGACGGGGCTCGCCGGCCGCCGGTGCCCCGGAGAGGCGCGGGG